TTTTTATGATTTCTTGTCTGTGCTCATACCTGCTGGATCCCATGCTCTGCCTCTGATAAGGGACTTTCCCCAGCATCTGTAGCTGTCCTTGCACGCTTGCCACCCCCAGTGAAGGAGGAATGCAGGGCGGGGTCCCAGGTTGCCCTTCTCATTGCAATTTACAGGCCCTGTTGGTCTTGAGATGGGAGAAGTGGTTTTAAGGTCCTCATGGTCAAAAAGTTTAAGGACTTGATTGCTTTCAAGTCTATTTCTACTTTTTCAGACCTTTTCCTGATATAAGCTTTTCCTAAGATTATATCCCAATCCTGGCTTCAAAGTCAGGGCTGTGTGGACAAGACTCTGTCCTTTTCAAAATGAGAATTCCTCTGGCTGGTCACATAACAGGCTTAGCTCCCTTGCCTGTCTCTTTGTCCTCTGAGCTCTGTGTTAACCCTGGTTCCGGTGCTCTGCCCATCCAGAGCTGACACGTAATTGTGACACCTAATCCAACTCCACGCTGGCTTCATGGACTTGGTTTGTGCATGCTGCCTGTCCTATTTCTAGCATTTCAACTCTGTACTACCTGATTTGGGGTTTGATCCTTCTGTCTTGGCCCCGCCAACCAACAGAATCTCTAATTCTCTCTAACGTTGAGTTAAGACAAAATCTCCAAGCTTCTCTTTTTGCTGTATTCCCTTTCCCAAGTCAGGCCTACAGACTTCCAGCCTCCATGTGATTGTTTCTCTGAACTGTATCTCCAAGCCCAGCTAATGGCCTCACCATTCTCCCTGCAACCCAAGCTAGAAACTTCAGACTTGCTGGTGAGACAGATCAAAAGGGGAGGGAGAGCCATCATCCATGCAATCAAAACTAAGGCCCTAGAGTCATCTCAGAAATAGGATGTGACATATCAGCTTTGCATAGGAGAAATTTCATCTGGTCAGTCTACTCCTAGGCCTCAAAAAAATCAATTTACATAAACCAGACTCACAGGGGTCTAAATTTTCACCCACAATTCTTGGTTTTTTTTTTTTCAATTTATTTATTTTTGGCTGAGTTGGGTCTTCGTTGCTGCGCGTGGGCTTTCTCTAGTTGCGGTGAGCGGGGGCTATTCTTCATTGTGGTGTGCAGGCTTCTCAGTGCGGTGGCTTCTCTTTTGTTGTGGAGCACGGACTCTAGGCACGTAGGCTTCAATAGTTGTGGCACGCGGGCTCAATAGTTGTAGCTCGTGGGCTGTAGAGCACAGGCTCAGTAGTTGTGGCACATGGGCTTAGCTGCTCCACGGCATGTGGGATCTTCCTGGACCAGGGCTCGAACCTGTGTCCCCTGCGTTGGCAGGCGGATTCTTAACCACTGCACCACCAGGGAAGTCCTTTACCCAGAATTCTGATTTGTATATTTACAATGGGCTATTTCACTTTACTGGAATCTTCCATTCACGATCCACAGTCCACACTTACAGAGAGGCCTGACTAAGCTGATGGGGTCATCAGAAGGTTCTCTGGTAGACTGAGAGCAAAGGAGTGGAGAAGGCTTGAGATATTTTCATAATAAAAGGTCAGAATAATCTGAGAGTAATCAGTGTTTCTGTAGAGTATACCTTTGTAGTAAACACCAAGAGGAGTGTACTTTCTACTCTTCATATGAATGTGAGAATTGAGGTCATCAACTCTTCCGTGTGGTCAGTGGGGTAACAAACGTTGAAGCTAGATCACTCCTGCGCTGATTCATGTGAGTGGAGCAGCTAGGGAGCACTTACTCGGTGCCAAGTACCCTGTAAGACTCTCTCTATCTCTCATGTAATCCTGACAACAGCTCTATGAAACGTGTGTTACATATCGCTACTGTGGGTTGAATTATGTCCCCTGAAAGGTATGTCCAAGTTCTCACCCCAGGTTCCAAATAAGCACTGTGGTCTTATTTGGAAATAGGATCTTTGCAGATATAATTAGTTAAGATGAGGTCATATTAGATTAAGGTAGGTCCTAGGCCCAGTATGACTAGTGTTCTTGTAAGAAGAGGAGAAGATACAGACACGGACACACAGTAGGAAGATGATGAAAAGATACAGAAGGAAAATACCATGTGACAGAGTCACGTGGCATATGCATCTACAAGCCAAGGAATACCATGGACTGGGGGTAACCACCAGAGGCTGGAATAGGCAAAGAATTCTTCCCTAGAGCCTTCAAAAGAAGCATGGTCCTGCTGACACCTTGATCTCAGACTTATGGCCTCCAGAACTTGAGAAAATACACTTATGTTGCTTTATGCCCCCCAGTTTGTGGTACTTTGTTAAGGCAGCCCTAGAAAACTAATACAATCTCCATTTTTACAAACAACATAATGGATGCCCAGAAATGCTCATTTCCCCAGTAAGAAACGTTTAGAACCCCATGACTTCAGATACTTGAACCCTTGTTGACTGATCTGGCCCATTAAGTAGGGATCCTCTTCCTTTTCTATCAAAACCATTTTCTAGTTAAATTACATAACATCAGCATTTCACAGAGACGACTTTGTAGCACACTTGTGGGATATTAGATTGTGTTAGTGTGCAAAAAAGTTTTCAGAGTCAAAAAAAGGAGGGTACTCTGTTATTAAGAAGACTTTTTTTTTTCTTCTAGGACCTCTTAGAGCCTTTAACATGAGTTATGAATCTCCAAGAGAGGGACACTAAAGCTTGCTGTGTTTCTCAGGCTGATCTGAACACAGAAGCCTTTTCTTACACAAAGCATCTCGTGGAATTTGTAGTTTATGGAAGATAATTTGGGAAGTGCTGAATTAAAGGAAAAACTTTTTTTTTTTTTTACATTATTTACATGCCAACCGTGTTTTCTGAGTTGCACCTCCACACGGGTCTCTGAAGGAGAATTGAAAAACATATTTACTGCATCAGAAGTATATTTACAAACCATATATTTGGGTAGGTTAATTTAACTAATGTTTTACCATACTTCTTATAGTTTTTGGATCATTATGTGAATTCTCAGAGTCAGTGTCTTCTAGTCAAAGGCCTATAGGAACAAACCTGTAGTTGAACACAGTTGGGTTTATTGATTTGTGGTATCAGTGCAGAATGTACCATGTACCATGTACACCATGGGAAATTAGGACATTTCAGAAAGAGAGTGTTAGGAAGGAGTTGTTATAGGATTTGTGCTTGTGTAATTTGGGGGTTAGATTCAAAAAAGAAGGATTTTGAAGAAATGAAAATGGCCATTAGTTCTTAGACTCTGAAAAACAGGGATCCAGACTATCATACCCAGACAAAGAAAATACCGCCCCACACACAATCTACCTGTTTTTTCCTAGACATCCAGAAGGTTCCCCCTACCTCTGCAGTCATGGGCTGTTCTGTACTGTTTATCTAGGTGAGGCAAGAAATGTCAAGTATAGGGCTTCCCTGGTGGCGCAGTGGTTGAGAGTCCGCCTGCCGATGCAGGGGACGCGAGTTCGTGCCCAGGTCCAGGAAGATCCCACATGCTGCAGAGCAACTAAGCTTGCAAGGCACAACTATTGAGCCCACACGCCACAACTACTGAAGCCCGTGCACCTAGAGCCTGTTCTCTGCAGTAAGAGAGGCCACCGCAATGGGAAGCCCGCCCACCGCAACGAAGGGTAGCCCCCCACTTGCCGCAACTGGAGAAAGCCCGCACACAGCAAAGAAGACCCAAAGCAGTCAAAAATAAATAAATAAATTTATTTAAAAATAAAAGAAATGTCAAGTATAAATTTCTCTTTGGCTAGCAAAGAAGAAATTAAGAGCCATGTGATGATCCATGACAACTCTGCCTAACGAATTTACATTTAAACCAAGGCTTGGTCAAAGATAAACAAAGCTGCTCACTACTCAAAGTGGTAAGACAGATTTTATTCAGTAATATACTATTGCAATAGGGAAGAGAGTCCAACATGAACTGAACTCAGAGGTAACTGGATGTTTAAAAGGGAGAGAATGAAGGAAAGGAGAGGGGAGTGAGCAGGGGCTCAGTAGAGCCAGGGAATTTAAAAATTACGGAAAGTAGGGCTTGGTGGCGCAGTGGTTAAGAATCCGCCTGCCAGTGCAGGGGCACGGGTTTGAGCCCGGGTCCCGGAAAATCCCACATGCTGCAGAGCAACTAAGCCCATGTGCCACAACTACTGAGCCTGCGCTCTAGAGCCCATGCTCCGCAACAAGAGAAGCCACCACACTGAGAAGCCCGCGCACCACAATGAAGAGTAGCCCCAGCTCGCCGCAACTAGAGAAAGCCCGCATGCAGCAACCAAGACCCAGCACAGCCAAAAATAAATAAATTTTAAAAAAATTACAGAAAGTAGGAAGGGAAGGTTGATCCAAGTGAAAAGCATCTGTGTTGGCTAACTGGCACTTATAGAAGTTAGGCTCTAACTTCTTTCCACAGAGGCCGGAGGCAGAGGCCCTGTGTCCAGGTGTGGGCTGGAACAAACAGAAAATTCTTTCAGCAGGCTTGAGTTTTCTCAGGCTATGTAAGAAGGGGAGGGTATGGTCATCCTAGAGATGCAGCCTTGAGCTGTTAAAAACCATATTAGCACTTTTATGTTAGCTGTTATTCAAGTCTGTGTAGGCCAAGGTTGACACCTGGTTGAGAAGAGGACTCAGAAGAGCTTGGCTAGAGTTTGATCAAGAAGAGAATCTTTGTCAGCTTCCAGAGCAGAAGCTGTGTAATTGATGACCTTCTCCAGGGTCAGAGACAAGCTTTGCATGATTCTCTTTTGGGCACTGGGCAAAAGTCCCCCCAGTTTGAGGATTCAGCTTCAACCAAATAAATTAATGTTTATTCTGCTTTCCAGAAATTTATCATGAAATGTAATGAAGCATACAGTAAAGACATATAGTAAAAGTATAAGCATACAGTAAAAGTGTAAGCATATAGTAAAATATAGCCAATATTTTTTGACTCACGTTTCAAAGAAAAACTAGTATTTCTCTCTGTTTCATTAAAACCTGGGAAAATGTAAGCAGGAAGTAACTTTCTGTATCTGTTTCCTTTTAATTCAGCATGGAGAGAAAACCTGTGTCCTTACCTCCGTCCATCTCCATATCAGAAATGGAACCCAACGGCAACTTCAGCAATCACAATAGCAACAGGAACTGTACAACTGAAACCTTCAAGAGAGAATTTTACCCCATCGTGTACCTGGTAATATTTATCTGGGGAGCCTTGGGGAATAGCTTTTCCATATATGTTTTCCTGCAATCTTATAAGAAGTCCACATCTGTGAACGTTTTCATGCTAAATCTGGCCATTTCCGATCTCTTGTTCACAACCACACTGCCCTTCAGGGTTGACTATTATCTCAGAGGCTCCAGTTGGATATTTGGGGACCTAACCTGCAGAATTATGTCTTTTTCTATGTATGTCAACATGTACAGCAGCATTTATTTCCTGACTGTGTTGAGTGTTGTGCGTTTCCTGGCAACGGTTTACCCCCTCCGGCTCCTGCATGCCACTAGCATCAAGAATGCCTGGATTTTATGTGGGGTCATATGGCTCTTCATCATGGCTTCCTCAACAGTGCTTCTGAAAAACGGCTCAGAGCTGAAGGGCAATGTCACATCCTGCTTGGAGCTGAATCCCAATAAAGTTAGTAAACTGAAGACCATGAACCACATTGCCTTGGTGGTGGGCTTTCTGCTGCCATTCTGTACGCTCAGCATCTGTTACCTGCTGATCATTCGAGCTTTGTTAAAGACGGCGGTCCCAGAATCAGGGCTGCGTCTTTCTCACAGGAAAGCGCTAACCACCGTCATCATTGCCTTGATCATCTTCTTCCTGTGCTTCCTGCCCTATCATATACTGAGAACCCTCCACTTAGTCGAGTGGAAAGTGGATAAATGCAAAGGGAGTCTGCATAAAGCTGTGGCCATCACACTGGCTTTGGCAGCGGCCAACAGCTGTTTCAACCCTTTGCTCTATTACTTTGCTGGCGAGAATTTTAAGGACAGACTAAAGTCTACACTCAGGAAATGTCATTCACAGCAAACAAAGTGCAGCTTTCCTGTGTGTGTGTGTGGTTAAAAAAGGAAATAAGCGTGTAAGGGGTTATTAGGTGAGGCTGTTCCTATGTCCTTGTGTCCACCTTCATTCACACGTAGTCTCCAAATGACTGTGTATTTATACCATTTCCAACAAAGGTCGATTCCCAAGATTGAATTGACCATGACTTTTGTTAATAAGACCTACTTCAAAATTTTCATTAAGTGTATCTTCAGTGTTTGAATCTAAATAGAGAGTATAGCAGGAAAAATCCCTGTTAGAGTCTTGCAACTTGAAATGTCAGACTGGGAAAAAATGCTGAGCACGGTGACTGCTGCTTCTCATCAGATCCCCTACCAGATCTCTGGCCCACTAGGCATTCTAAATTCTTAATTTTAAGGCCACCCCAACATTCCTAGCTTCTCCAGCTCCTCTTCCCTCTTCAATCCCCTGAGACAGAGCCAGTTAACAAAGCTACTGGAGGCCCCAGAGCAGATAAGAAAAGCATCCTTCGAATTCAGGAGAAAGACTTAGACTGTGAAGAGGAAGGCTGTCCTCTAACAAAGCAGAGTCAAGGTCCCCAACAAGCACAGTGGGACAAAAACAGGGAGAAGAGAGAAAGGGGAAAAAAGAATTTCATTTTGCACTAGGAGAGGGTCTCTAGCACACTGAAGGCAAAGGGCATGCCTCTGTCTAGTCAGGGGGTGAGGAAAACAGGAAGAGTAGGAGGAAGACCTGGGGCATTGCCCTCACAGGTGGAGGGATTATGTGCGGAATAGGAGAGAAGGGGATCCATTTTACTGTTGAGATTTGGGCCTGGGCTGTTCACTGCAGTTCCCATCTTGCAGGTTAATCCACTTGGATGGGAGCCAGAACAGAGGAGGTGGTGCTAAGGGTCTGGCTGGGCACTCAGAGAGAGGGTGGGGTAGAAGGCAAGTTGCAAAGATTGTGGTACCCCTGAAATTCTATTAACATTTTGGCAGAACATGAGTAGGGTGGCTTTCTTTTGAGAGAGTGTAGCAAAGCCCTGGATTGTGGGAGGGAGGTCCTTTCTGTCCAGTGAAACAAGGCTAAGGAGACTACCTACTGCTACCACCATGACCACTGTACTGCCAACAATTGAGTACCCTCTCTGTGCTGGGCAGACTGCACGAGTCACTTCCCATCCGTTAATTCCGTTTAACCCTCACACCAAAGCCCTTCATCTTCATTTTACAGATGAAATCAAGGAACTTGTTCAAGTTCAAACAACTGCGTAAGAGTTTTAAAAACCGCTGTGCAGAGAGGTTGGCTGGGTGCTTTCCCTTCCATTCCCCTTGCAAACCTCCCTAAGGATTAGTTGAAAGTCTGAGTAAGAGTTTTCCTCTCCCATCAGGTACCTACCGCTTCTCACTCTCATGAGAAGACTGAAGGCTGAAGTTTTCTCTTTGGAGTTGTTGACCCCGAGATAGAGTGGAGGGTGGGAGGGTGGTGTTCTGAAGCTAGCAAGGGACTGAAGGAAAGTCTTCATAGAGAACAAGAGCCCCAGAGCCATTCCCTCACTCAGCTGCAAGAATGCTGACAGACTCATATCTTGTCAACACAGAAGCCTGGAGCCTCCTCCTATGGGGAATCTGCCCGACTCAAGGAAAAAGACCAACAGACACAGACTTTTGGGGATTCTCCCAACACAAAAGCTGGTGCCAGCCCTATTACTTACCGGACAGGAAAGCCCACACTGCAACTAATCCCTTCTACTCATAGAGAGCATCTAATCAACCTGTTAGAGCCTCACTCTTATTATGAGCAGTCAATGACGACCACACATCAGAGGAAAGGGCCTGAACATGAGAAACCAACAATAAATGAGAGGGTAGATAGAGACATTTTCAGTATGAAAGGTCTCAACATTTTTAGCACCCTCACACTTTTTATTAGAAACCTACTGGAGAATTTACTTCTCTAAAATCAGAGATTAACCAGGATAAAGGAACACCTGACATCTAGCAAACAAGGAGTAAGATGAAGAAAACTCCCAGCACATTTGTGCATAAATAGCAGAAAAACAAGAAACTAACTGATCTGCACACGTTGGAGGGATTTATATTTTTCTTGGATAGCGTGGGATGAACTAGTAAAAATACATAGGAAAATAAACAAGTGAAAAGACAATGCAATTATTAAATGCTAAGGAAAAAGAAATTGTTGTTTAAGAAAGGAAATACAACCATAGTGCACTACATGGCTCAGCTGTGAACAATATTTACATAGAGAATGTAAATAGCAAAATACGGTGATATAACTTTTTTCAGGAAATGAGGGGGAGAGGATGTGTATGAGGGGGGAGTGGTATAATACATCTATGTTCCTATATTTTATCACAGAAAATTTGTAATAACTAAAGCTAAAGAATGACAAATATCTGTATAAAAATGTTATTTAACAATAGAGGGTGAAGCCCAGAAGAAACAGTGAAAAGCATTGACAGGGATTGCCTTTGGAGAGAAGTTGGGTGTGGGAGGATAAGGTGGGGATTTCTTTTTTCCTCTTAATAAGTATTTAACTGTCTAACTTGTGAATATGTATTGCTGAAATAAAATAAAAATTAAGTTGAAAATTAATTTTAAAATTCAAATTAATTCTGCCTTAAAAAAAAAAAAAACAGAAATGGAAATTGTGCACTGAGAGAAGAAAGGAAAGCAGAAAAGGACTACATTTGGACTTGGGCCCCTGAGGGAAGCCCACTCAGCCCTGCCATGGAAAGGGAGCTCCTTTCTGGGGTGAGGGGAGTCACCTTCTGAGGTGAGGGGTGATTTGGTATGTCAGGATTTTTTAGCTGTAAGTAACAGAATACCCAACTCCAAGGGGCTTAAACAACCACTATACTGCTTAACTGAACCATACAAAGGGAAGTTGGACTTCAGGCCCTGTTCAGCCAGGATTTCTGCAAGCCTTTCTCTCCAAGTGTTGTCTTGGTCCCATGGCTGAATCACCTCATGGAAACAAGCTGATTGCAAGCAGCCTGAGGCTACATGTTTCCTTACTTGTATCCAGGAGAAGAAACAGGGTATCTCCTGCCCAAGTCATCTAACAAAAGTCACAGGGTTCCTTTTGATCAGACCTACTCAGATTGCATACCAGCTCCTGATAAACCAAGGAAGAAGAGATTACTCTGACTGAATGAGGATGGTCGGAGTCTACACCTAAAGTGGGAGTTGTGGGCAGAAGATCAAAATGGCGGGCGGGAAGATGCAAAACTCACTTCCCCCCACAAACACATCAAAAATACATCTACATGTGGAACAATTCTTGTTGAAAACAAAGTGGAGTGGCAGGAAGACTCCTGCATGACCAAGGCTGTAAGAAAGATCCACATGGAATCAGGTAGGAAGGGAAGAGAAGCTATTGGGTCAGGACCTGTGCTCCTGGGAAGGGACTCAGCAGACAAGGGAGATTACATAGGTAGAGACCCTCCCTGGGGAGTGAGCAGTTAGAGCCACACATTGGGCACCCTTACCTGGGGCTTGACACCAGGAAGACGAGTCTCCTTGGCTGGTTGGAGGGCCAGTGGGACTAAAAGGAGGGCTATGGGAAGCCTGGACTCCACTCGTGAGGAGCATGGACACAGTTACTTACTTCCAAAACAAGGTGGAGAGGGTGGCCGGTTTTCTGTGACTGCCCCAGCACGTGTCCCAGCCTGAACCAAGCAACTGCTCCAGCCCCTCTTGCTTCAAGATGCAGCTCCACTTTGGGGCAAGGGCTGCTGCGGCCAAGGAGAAAGCTCGGCTATGAGACACAAAAGGAGCTCAAACCGAAAATGGTGTCTGAGTGACACTGGGGCAGTCATTACTGGTGCGTATACAGGCAGCATATCAGAAGCAGTCCTGATCTCTGTCTGGGTCCGGACCTCCACAATCCATGCCCTGACCCGTGCAAAGCACCCACACTGATCCCACCTGACCTGCAGTACAGCTCCACACCAGGCTAAGGGTGGCAAAGGCCAAGGGAGAGCTCAGCTGTGAGGGACAAAGGAGGCTGAGACTCCAAGCGGTATCTGAGCAGCGTGGGGAGGCAGCTACTACTGGGGCTTACACAGACAGCCCATCAGAAGCAGTCTGGGTCTCTGACCCCAGCCAGATGTCACAGCCCACGCTGCAAGCCATTCTGAATGCTCACACCACCCCTCTTGCTCCAGCACTGCTTCCCGCTGGGGTGGGGTGCTGGTGCTGGGAAGGGCGAGAGCACACCCTTACAGGGAAGAGAGCCCGTTTGTATCCGACCCTCAGGTCTTCTGCTCCAGCAACTCGGGACCCACCCCCACCCCCAATAAGGCAGTGACAGCCACTGAGCAGAGAAGAAGCCCCTGCTTACACCCGGCTCCGGCTCTCCCCGCTGCATCTCTAGCTCCACCTCCTACCAAGATGATAGCTGCCAGCACACCCTGAGGAAAGATGGGACTTGTGTTCAGATCCAGCTCTCCCACCAAAGCCACTGGCACATGCAGTATGTACAGGGATGCTCCAACACAAGGACACCCCCTTAAGATCACAATAGGTAACTGTTTCATCTAATTTCATAGAGACAGAGAAAGTTAAGATGAGAAGAGAGAAGAATTTGTTTCAATTGAAAGAGCAAGTGAAAACCCCTGAAAAAAACAACTAATGAAACAGAAATAAACAATTTACCAGATAAAGAGTTCAAAGTGTTAGTAATAAGAATGCTAACTGAATTAGGGGAGAGAATAGATGAAACTAGTGAGAATTTTAACAAGGAAACAGGAAATATACAAAAGAACCAGTCAGAACTGAAGAATACAATAATTGAAATGAAAAACACACTAGAAGGAATTAAGAGCAGACTAGGTGATACAGAAGAAGGAATGTATAGGTCAGCTGGAAGATAGAATAATATAAATCACCCAATCAGGACAGCAAAAAGAAAAACAAGGCTTCCCTGGTGGTGCAGTGGTTGGGAGTCCGCC